AAAAACAAAAAATCAAACTGAGCTGACCAATGAAGACCCCTGTATATTACAGTTTACTTAATTTCATTTTCATTCTATGGGTTGCAAGTGTTGCAGGAAAACATTAATTAGATGACTACTTACCAGTTAAATAGGTTATAATGATTTCTTGTGCTGAAAAGCTACTCATTCTTGTAGCTTTGTGCCAGGGATCCTTGAGGATTCCAGGAAGACGAACTCTAATACAGAATTATGATACAAGCACATGCATGGACTATTTTCAAAAGATAACCAACGGGTTTTAGTAGATAAATGAATCGTTAAAACCTATGTGGTAGCACCTTGTCATCTTAAACTCCTAAAACTTGGGGAGACTTCTCTGGTGGTGGCATGGACTCACTATCCAGGAAACATCACCATGGTTTACACTGGCCCCTATCTAAGAATAATGGTGTAACATGTCCCGATCACAGTACATATAAATGAACTATTGTCAAAACTAGTAAAAATTATTCATTGCCTCGATAACTTTTTCCTCCCTCTAACTATGTACACGACTTGACCTTTTGCATCAGTTCAAACAATGTCAGGAACCTTTGGCACCATTATGTACCTTGAAACCCAAAGCATCCTCACAAGCCTTCATGCCTGTATCTTGAGACCTAGTTTGTGGAAATCATCTGCTACTGCACGACACTGTTGAGTAGACGGCTTGAAGGTTCAGAGCAGGGACTCATTTCATGACCCTCTTTAGGACAACACTTTTACCTTCCTGTGATTTAGACTGGTTTCCTATTTTAGCCTATTATTCTATGTTGATTCCTCTGGCCTTCTATTTCCCACTTCTGTAGACATCTCATCCTAGCAAACAATTGCAGCTTGCAAGTTGCAATAAATTGACTTGCCGTTCAGACGTCCTTAAGAATCAGTGGATTATTTCACATGCTTCTTAGGTGTTCTTATGAGTGTAAAACATCTCATCACATACCATTCTCAAAAAAGGAAGAAAAAAGAATGTAAACATCTCATGTTTCCACTTTTGGAATATGCACCAAGTCTTCTTTCTCGACAATAGTATAGAAGAGAAATTACTCCTTTATCATGCTTACTCGTGCACTACTTTTCGCACATTAAGCTGCTTTGTCTATTTCTGAACCACTATTTCTCCAGTGTACATTCTATGTCATCTTTATCATTTTCACTTCTTCAGATGAAGGAAACTCTTCGCTGTTGATTTCCAAACTAGAAGCAGCAAGGTTAAATTCTCATAGCAGACTGAGGATATCTAATTGACAACCCACGTGTTCTTTCACCTGTAGCTACAAATTTTACCCTTTGTTAAGAGCTAGAAGGGCTTCCAAACTCATTGCATTACTTTGTCAAAAAGTAAATTAACATTAAACCAACTGGATAAATTTCTTCTCTGATCCTCAGGGCTTTGTTCTAGTGATAAGAGCACAACGTTTGATGTGTGGGTTAGATGCACATCACGGGTTTGAGCTCTAATTTTATGATCCTAGTTTTACTCTCTTTTTGAACTTCTAGTCAAACATGTCTGTACTCGAAATAACATAGATTGATTTTTATATGCTTCATTGGTCCTTTCTGCTAAGAGTAACTTCATACAGTCCTACTTATCTTAGTTTTTTCTGATGATTTCTATTTGCCTTTCCTTATATGTGTAGCTCTTCGATCTGCAATTCAAGCATTCCGCCGAGAAGAGGAGTCACAGCTTAATCGCTCTTTAAAAAGAAGAAAGGAGAGATATGATCAGGTTTGCCACTTCCATATTCTTAAACTATATCACTACCTGAAATGAGGTGGAAAGAATGCTGAACGTTGTTTAATTTAGACTAAAAAGAAAAAGAAAAGGTGGGGAGTATCTATTCTCGTACTCAAAAGACTGACTTTACTCTAAAATTATTTATGGTCTTAGTATCATATCTCTATGCAGGATAGAGGGACCTTCGGTGATTCAGCACTTCCGGATCATCTAAGAGGAAGAGGAGTTCAGTTTCCATTCGCTGTGACTGACAGGGTTATAATAAAGGTTCTTCCAGTTATATCTGAATTTTAATTACATTTCCTAATTGATTTTGAATGGGCTATCTAATTGAAATTATTAATTAAATAGGGCAACAAAAGGACACCTGAGCGTTTTGTGGGTCGTGAGGCTGTTGTTACAACTCAGTGCTTGAATGGATGGTACATCTCTTTCTTTGCAATATTTGCTTTCTTGAATTTCATTACATCTTTTTGACTTTTTAAAGCAATTCAGAGTGATTTTGAAAATGTCCACTAAAATATCCTTTGTGCTTATGCTCTCAACATCTGAATTCTAAATATCTGTTATGCCTAAAAGATTAAAAACTTGATAGATCTAGACTTATTTTGGTTCACTGGTAAAAGTGCAGCGCATGATGTATGGGTTATGCACAATTACAACTTTGAACTTTTCCATGGACAGAAGCCTAGTACTTAAGTGGAGGAGGGCAGAGAGGTGGGCCGGTTATCCATTGTGTTTCGAACTGTGCATACCTGGACATCAGGAATTTCTCGTCTATAAAAGAAATCTAGACTTATCTAGCAGAGACATCCATTTGGGAAGTTGGAGAGTCTATCTGTGTCAAGCACTCCCTCAATCACAAAATAACTTAAATCCATCTCAAAATTTAAAACTTTGCTCCTTTCAGTATGTTAAATATAAACTATTACTTCACCACCTTTTCACATTTTATACCTTTATTCTTAACTCCTCTGCCAGATTACATATAATTATATACTCAAGCATTTTACAGTTCAATCTCTTGTAGATAAATTTTTTTGGGATGGAGGGAGTATGAATTAAACATTTATGCGAAGCACTGGTCACCACAGAAAGTTTAACTAGTATGTTCGTGAGAATGAATGGAGAATTTTATGGGAGGGAAAGTAACAGAGGCAGGAAGAGGTAATTTCCTCGTGTTTGGATAGTTGAGGGAGACGAGAGGGAATACTTTATCATCTAAAGTGGGCAGGAAGCAGAGAGTAAAGAGGGGGGTGTATGCACCCTCATAATTGGTGAAAGGGAGGAAGTAGATGTCTTTACGTCCCTTCTAGTTTTGCCAATTGTAGGAGCAAAAGATAACCAATGTTCCTACTATCCTTTACACTTCATTTACTTCCTTTATCCAAACATTGCGCAGAACTCCTGAAATTTGGTGTTATCTGTAAGCCTCTTTTGTTTTTTATTTGTTTTCTATACATAAATGTCTTGATTCCCCTTTCACATGAAACACAAGCCTGCTCTATCATATTGAGACTTGGATACAGTCCTCTTTAATAACTTCAGTAGTCCAAAACATAAAATGAAGTGTCGTATAGAGTAAGTCTCTTTGCCCTGCCCAAGTAATAGTGAAAGGTGGTCATTCTTTGACTATATTAAACAAGAATCATATTCAAAATATTTTACAACTCTATTCTAGATTTTCTCCTTCTCTACCGGAAAACTTTGGAGCATAGCCTTTTCTGTGGGGAATGTTGAGACTTTAGCCAAGTAAAAATTCCGTGATGACTGTACATGACTCATGTACACATTAGGGGAAAGATTTGATCCATACGAAGATTCTGAGTTCATGCACATTACTCAGATAAGTGGTATGCTCTATGAATTTCAAAATACTTTAACACAAGTTAAACATGCAACGCTTAACATATTTTATTGTATTTCATATCCCTGACCTTGAAAATCCATCTCAAAAACTCGCTTACCTTGAAAATGCTTACTTTGTGTTAGTAGTTTATTAAAAAGATTTCTTCAGCTCAAGTTTGAAAATGTTAATCTCAAATTTGTTGTATTTTGCTAAACCCTTCGAATTTTGACTCAGATTTTTGAACACATTGTCTTCATTGAACCTTGTCAAGAGGCTTCTGAGTTTTGCCTATTGAGCACACTGCTGAATAGCTTATTCAACTCTTTCCTTCTCTCCTTTTTTCTTTGTGGAATATATCTCGATTTGCATCTATATAGTTAATGTCGTAATTTGCTTCTTCTCATCTTGCAGTATTTGATAAAATTCTTCAACTAGCCAAGTAATGACTCTTTATTTGAATGTACAACTTGTGCAGGTATGTTGTAAAGACATTAGATAATGCAGAGAGTGTAAAGTTGCAATACCGCTCCCTAGCCAAGGTTTCAGATAATTTATCAATCCAGCCAATATCAAGTAAGACGGCAGCCAATTGGCTGTAGAGTTCCATTCAACAGAATGATTATGTCTCTCTCGTCCTAACTTATTGCACATACACCATGTTTGATACATATAGTCTAACTAGAACAAGCATTGTGTTTTTTCAGCTGTAATCTAGATCTTGTATCCGTTCAACGTAATTCTCAGGCTTAGGTGTTGTATATTGTATAGGTTGTCTTGTAGCACTACAGCGTTGAGATGAGATCCCGAGATATGAACTATACAGAGCCACACTTGATTAAAATAAATGAATTATACAGATTCATTTCTGCTGAACTTTGTATCAACTGGTATCTATTCAGACATACAAAGATGATAAAAATATCTTATCTGCATTACCTCCTGAAGCTCATAATGCTGGGTTCTGTGCATATGATATGTCAAATGTGCATGTGCATCTAGCCAGGCACACAAAGGTTTGGCCTATCGGTCAATGAAGTTCGTGAAAAATATTATAGATTAGGGTTCAAATTCCAATCGAGGGCTAGATGATTTCTTCCCATATGTTTGATGGACAAAGTTATCAGGTTCTTGTATTGATGAAAGACCAGAAGGTAACAGGTACCTCTTGAATAGTCAAGTGTCTACAACTTGGCCGTGGGACCACCATTACAAAAAGATGTAAGTAAGATCTTGGACCCTAACTCGTTGAGACGTAATTGTTATTGTTGTTGAGACATAAGTGCAATTAACATTAAGTAAAATTGTCACGACCCAAAATTAGAAGTCATCATGGCACCTATGTCTCAACCGATAATTCCTTTACCAATGAAAAGTAAGCGACAGTAAATATCAATCTGAGATAAAGAAATAAAAGCATTAAAACCATAACAATTACTATGAATTTTGTCACAACCAACAACTTTTAAATTGTTTCAAAGCACTTTCCCTAAAATTCTTAACTCTTACTAAACAAAAATGTGTACAAAATAAATCCATTCCTCTACCAGCTCTAACTCTGCTAGTCTTCAATAAATAACAAGCAGGTCCAGTTTCATCAATTCCTTTCCCCTGTACCATTACACCCCAAGATTTCGTCAACACTTCATCTGCATCTTCTTGTAATATATTGTGATTTTCATTATTTTCACCATCTCGAAGTTCTTCAACAAAAATCAATCCATCTGGGGTTCTTGTTTTTCCACTTTCCCATTCATTTTTCATCATTGGCCAATTCTCAAACAGAGCTCTCTCTGTTTTGATGCAAAGTGGTGATGATCGTTGTGGTTCTCTCTCATCATCATCCTCCTCCTCATTCGCGTAAATGTGGACAAGTAATGGTGCTTGTTTCAAATTCTTAACAATGTCAACCATAGACGCATTCATCCAATCATCGAGATTTCTCGATAATATTATTTTTTCCTTTTTTCTAGCATCATTTTTCGCGACCCTGTCTAAGGGTCGCGAATTTGATAGAGACAGAGATGAAGCAGAAACAACACCAACATGCTTCATTTGTATCATGGATGCTGTTGATCTTCTTTGTATCGTTCCAATTTTATTCAATGTACCTAGAGACACACTCGGATTTATGTGTAACGATGCCATTTTTTTTTTTGGGGAAAATCGTTACTCGTACCGGGGAATTAAATTAAGAATTATTTAATTCCCCGGAATGGTTTGATTTTTATTTTTTTTGGGTTGTTAGAGGGAATTGAGGAGTGAAATTTGAATAGAAATATTGAGAAATGTGACACGAGCATGGAATAGGTTGAGGGACAAAAGGCACATGTCTTATGTATGACATGTAACATTTGAGACCAATCATATTTTTTGGGTGCTGAGGTGTGGCACCAATGATATTATGACACGTTTATGAACGATAGGCCTCGAAGAAAGAGATAGAGTTTCTCTAGAGCAGATAGGGCAAAGACCAAGATACATATATCACAAAATTTGAGTTGAGACTATGGTTTTTCATGTATATATCTAATTGAATTATTTAGGTTTAATACATGGATAAGTACTCTTCATTTAGACGCTTGAACTATGATTTGATTTGTTTCAAATTGAGCATCTGAATACATGATAAATTGTTCTCATTATTAGATGCTTTTGGTTCGATTTTTTGTAAATTATCTGTGTGTTTTCAATTGTCTATTAGATAGTTAAATTAACATTATTAACGTAATCTCTTTTAGTTATATGTATCAACTTCAACTAAAATATGACTGGATTTTTATGATTTATTGAGATTAAGGCGTATAATTAAATGAGATGATATATTTTAAGCGGTGACATTTGAGAATGTGGCACGATCATGGAGTGGATAGTTAGGCACACGTCTTACGTATGACATGTAACACTAGAGACCAATCATATTTGTTTTTTTGGTGATGAGGTGGCACCAATGATATATGCCACGTTTGTTTATGATGACACACATATCACAAAATTTGAGTTGAGATTATGTGAGCCTCCATATACCAATAGGATGAAATAACAAACTATTAATTCAAATTAAATGTTATAGCCATAGTTTATTTTATTTGTAATTCGCAACAAACATCCCATTTTTTGCCATCTGATTCGGTATACAATTAGCTATTTTATACATTTCGGTATAAAATGTATAAAAATGCCTTTGTATTTGTATAAAGCGAGAGAAAAATGTATATACAAATACAAATACATATATTTTCGTCCTATACACTTATAATTATACAAATACAGATCTTATTATATAAATTACAATGTATAAATGAATTTATACAAAACTGAACAATTTGTATAAAATTAAATGTATCTAGCGAATTATACAAATCAAAAGTTTCATAACAAACATAAAATTTGTTATAGAGCGCAATTATGCAAACTATAGCTATAACATACAAATATAATTTTTATATTTGCTATATGTGGAAATTGCTCAATTCTCTAATTGGATAATTTTACCAATATCTAGTGAGTTCCAACCAAATTCTTGTGAAAATTTGATGAAATGTTTGACTATTTTGACTGGTTAGTAAATATTTTTAAAGTACTTATATTATATACTATATAATATAATAAATAAAATAATGTAAAAGGTGTTCAATGAGACAACATGGCCTAAATTTGGTTGGTAAAAGGCGTGGTGGTTATGCAATAACAGACGAATAGTAAAATTTGTTCTCTTTCTCTTTGAGCTAAGTAATGGAGTAATAAATACATATATTACTAGTAAGGGTGTGCACATATCGAATTTTAAAATTATTGATTTTATATCTTGATTTTAGAATTTCGCAAAATATAATTTGAATTCTATTAAAAAACGTTCAGATTAGATCAATTTTTCAAAGTTTGATTTCAGATAAATTGATATGAATAATTCAATTTTTCAGTTTTGAACATATAACTAAATAAATTTCAAGATGGTAAAATCATGGCATAACATATAACAATACCGACAATGACAACAATGATATTTTTTTTTTAAAAAAAAGAGTCATCTTGAAATTAACAAAGTCAAACATATATGGTTTGTAGGCGAAAGGAGAAAGCATCGTGTCTAAGTTAATATCAATAGAAAAAAAATACTTTTAACTGATTCTGTTTGAGCCTCAAATGAACTTGAATTTATTACTTAGTATTGAATATATATTTTTTGTTGTTGTTATTTTTCACTTGGAGCACGCATTGAAGCTTCAGTTAAATTTGGATTGCGCATGTAGGTCCGTTCAAGAGTTCCTAACAAAATTTTCTTCATAATCAGAGTTGAATTCGAGATCTCTAGATAAGAATGAAATCGTTTTATCACTACACCAACCTATGATTTATGTCTAGTAAGTAGAGTATATCTGCCTTATTAATTAGATTAGGCATATAGATAATGCGTTTATGTCTAAATGATAGAAAAGAAAAAAAAATAGATTTGGTGTGATAGGATGATAAGTACTTTTTTTTTATTTTTAATTAAAAAATCTCGTGTTTAAATTCTAAGCCGTCCGTATATCATGTTCATATTTATTATTTTTATCCCACCGACTAAACGACGTATTTTTTTTACAAAATTGACACCTCACTTTCCAAATACTCGTGTCAAGCCTACCTTTTTTAAAGAAAAAAATGTCTACTCATACCTAACAGCTCCCAATTGCTGGAAGGTAGATTGAGTGGTAGCTAAAAATTCTACAATTAATTTTATTTTCATTTATATATATAATATATAAATTTATTTATATATAATATAAATTTATATATATTCCACATAAACTTAAACAAACAACAAACTTACTTTCAATTATTTTTTTTAAGTCCACTTTCAAACTCTCTAAGTTTTCTCAATCAAGTTCAAGAGTAAGCTATTTTTTTTTTCTTGAATTTTTATTTTATTTCTTTTGTATTTATTTTAATTGCTTATTTGTTAAATGTAAAAAGAGATTCTTGATTAATTTCTTATCCAAAATGTTTTTTTTTGTGTAGTGGTAAAGAATGAAGTGATGGTGGATGAAATTCCTTTTCCTTCTCAATTCATGGTGAATAATAAGCCTTTACCTTTGATGGGCCATGGTAAAAAAAAAAAACTTTTTACCACTTCTTCTTGATTTTTATCTCTTCATATCTATATGCTGGGTTATAGTAAAATAAATATCTGTGTATAGAGACGTATTTAGAATTTTAACTTTATGTGTTTTGAATCTAATAAAAATAATTTATTAAATATTGGAAATATTATTCTAGTAAGACGGATTTAAAATTAGAAGTTTATGATTTTTTCGATAGTTTCAAGTTACTATACGAATTACGATAATAGTTTGGTTCACGTTCAAATATACATGTATTCGCTATATTGGATGATAATTCATAAATATTAAGCAAATTTCTTAAAATAAATATAAAAGTTTAGCCAAAGTTACTGAATTTTATCCTAGTTGATGAATGATTAAAATATCATATAATTTTTTTAATTTTTTTTTCCCTTTGGGGTAGTTAGTTGAAGATGATTCTATAAAACCCAAAATTATCTAGAGGATCTATCTTTATGTAAATATTACTAAATTTTCAACATATTAAATTTTTGAAAAGTCAATTCGGATTTAATTTATATATGTCGACAATAACAAAACGTTTAACGCTTACGTTATCGATGAATTTTAACCTGTTGTAGCAGAGTAACTTTTTTTCATGTTACTAATCCCATTGATTCCAAATTGTTTTTTTTTCCAGGAATAACAGACATAGAGATACATTTTCTCCAAATTAAATTCACAGCAATTGGAGTTTACTTGGATCCAGAAATTGTGACTCATTTGCAACAATGGAAGGGAAAAACAGGGGAAGAACTAACTGAAAATGATGAATTCTTTGAGGCTATTGTTAATGGTAACTAAAATCTTCACTAATAACTACCTACACCGCTCTGACTTTCCAAAAATATTGTCATATTCATGTCAGATCTTCTAAATATGCATTACTTTCAAAGGATCTGACACGAATCATCAATACTTTTGAAGAGTCTGAACAACATAGATGATTAGGCATTCTTGTTTCTATAAAGTTGTTTACTTCAAATGTAGATAATAGTCCAAAACACGTTTTTGCCAGCTTTCTATCTGAACTATATGTTGGGTTATGAAGGTGAATAGAGCGTCATGCAGAAGCTTACAATTGCAAATCATATGGTAGATAAATCAGATGACAAATAAAGTTATACTAAAACATAATATTATTAATATGGTATGGCCAATCGGCCTACATATGAAAAACTAATAAGAAGAAAATATTAAAACTGTTGAGGGAAAATCTCCCCATAAACTAAACTCTTTATTGACTACATTGTGGATGTTCTTATTATTTTTGTGTTAGAAGAAACAAATTCATATTTATAGAGTCCTAAAACCTTTTCTTACTAGAAAAGGACTAGCTACTTCAAAATCTTTTCCTAAAAGGAAAGAATAAACTAAATATGAAAGAATATTATATTTTCCTTTCAGAAAAAGTTAAAGCATTTATGGTAATACTTTGACTTTACTTTTAGGAAAAAATAAACTTCAAACAAGGTAAGAAAATCAGGGCAAAATCCTAGCACTATAAAGTGTGCACTTTTCATACATGAACTATCACTAACTATTTATCAAAACATACTTCAACTATCAGTTGTTTTCTTTTCATACCTGAACGATGGTGATGTTTGAGGTTGAAAAAGTGAACAACTGATAGTTCAGATAGAAAACTCAGACAAACGTGATACTTTAGTTTTTTCTTAAGAAAAGAGACTATTCATCTAGCTTCAATGTTATACATTTGCAGCTCCAGTTGACAAGTTCTTGAGAGTAGTAGTGATTAAAGAGATCAAAGGTTCACAGTATGGTGTGCAGCTAGAGAGTGCCATACGCGATCGCTTAGCAGAAGTCGATAAATATGAAGAAGATGAGGAAGAAGCACTCGAAAAAATCGTTGAATTTTTCCAGTCTAAGTATTTCAAGAAAGATTCAGTAATAACATATTATTTCCCAGCTACTTCTGGGAGTGCAAAGGTAGGTACTAACACTTCTTTTCGCGAAAGATTTTGAAGTTATGATCATCGAGTCATTTTCTGATGTTTGGTTACGATGTTTTGAACAGATATCGTGCACGATAGAAGGTAAGGAAAACTTGGAAATTGAAGTTGAAAATGCAAATGTTGTAGAGATGATGAAGAAATGGTACTTAGGTGGAACTAGGGGAGTGTCACCTACAACTATTTCTTCTTTGGCTAACAACATTTGTGTTGAATTGTCTAAATAAAATTAAAGACATCATGTGTTGTGTTGTTTGTATTGATTTTTGTTGTTTTGGTCATGTTGGCTATTGTATTTGGCCTATGGAGACCTTTTGTTTCAAGATTTGTGTTTGAAATTAATAAATTAGAAGTTCATTTTAGCTTGTTTGCAACATCTTTTATCATATTTTCCTTTTTAGTCTCTAGAAATTGTTTAAGCAAAGGGAGTGTGTGTGTTGGTAATAACTTGGTATTCTTAGGGCTAGTTTAGACATGATTTCAAATCATGTTTTGAAAACAGTTTTCGGAACCAGCTTCTCTATCTCCATTAGGTAGTGGTAATGTTTGCGTATATTCTACCCTCTCCAAACTTCACTTGTGAGATTTTACTCGGTATGTTGTTGTTGTTTTGAAATCGGTGATTTGAATTTGAAATTTTGTTTGAACATGCAATTAAAACCCTACAAGTTGTGAAAACTATCAGAATTTTCTCAATTCTAATACTTATCTTATCAAATGAGTAAACCGTGGTTCATAAACAAGATATTGGAATATCTAAGATACTGCATTGATTAGTCTCATATCTCCTTGTTCCTTTTATAAATATAAGTTTGCGTTTACAAACTTTCAAATGCACATCACTTTATAAAAGATTGTCAACAATAGTTTTAACTAGTTGTACTTTAATATAATCTTTTTAAATGGTACATACAACCTCTTCACCCCATGCATGTGCCTTTTTTTTTTTACCTAATTTAAATGTTGAGTCTTCTTTTACTAAATATAAACTTATGAATCAAATTTTACATTAAAAAAATAATTGAAATCACAATTTCAAATTTCAAATCCTACTTCTTGAAGGATTTAGTATTTGAAATCATCATCTCAAATCACATCTCTAAATATTAATTTTATCTTAATTTCAAATCGCATGCCCAAACACCTACTAAATTTGTCCATTTTAAGTTGCAATGAGGACATTTCTTAAAGAATTGTTTGATAGGATATGTGGCATAATTTCACAATCATAAATCTTGACATAAGATTTGTGAAGCCAAACAAATCACATTATTAGGTATTATGGGCACACACATGAAGCATTGATAAATCATAAATATATTTTAATTATATGATCTCATACAAAATAATTATATACCATGTGTGAGGGATACTTGAGAGATATGTATAAATGATCATATATGCCAACTAAAATTAATAATTAATATGATCTCAAAAATAAAGATCTTGCATGTGTACAGAACATTTGAAAGATAGTATCTAGAAATTATATATGATCTCAAGTTTTTTTTTTAATTAAAGAAAAAAAACTTTGACAAGTTTTTGCACATAAATCTCAGTTTCTTTAGGTAAAAACGACAAAGTTGAAATTATATATGTCGAGAAAATAATATTTTGCAGTGTAATTAACACGACATAGTTTTTGAATTTAAGTTAATACTTAAATAGTATATTAATATAGTAAAAATGTTATAATCGAGAGACTATGAATAGATTAGACCATTCACTCGAATGAGTAATAATACTCGTAATGATTAACTTTATAAAGATTCTATTGAATTCCAATCATTCATAGAACTGGTTAGCAAAATTTCCAAACTTAAAAAGTCAACCGAATGAGTACTAATACTCGTAATGATTAACTTTATAAAGATTCTATTGAATTCCAACAGCTCGTAGAACTTGTCAACATAATTTCCAGTTGATCAAGAAGTTGGGAACGTTCCCTCGGCCTCTGACTTGCCTCTAGTTACTGAAAGTGAATTCATTTTCAATTATCCTATATATATATATAATTCCAAAATTAAAACAATTCAAACGATTGCCGTCATTATTATTTTTAGTCGAAAGGAATTTTTTTCTTCTACTCTAACCCTCTCCTCATGTCGTATATCCGCTCAACTCTTATATTTAAATCTTTTTATTTATTTGGACATGAATGAACCCGAACAGACTTTCGGCCCTATGGGTAACCAATTAAAAATATTTACACTACCTGCTCTTTGAACTCGAGAGGAACGCCATGTTCTCTAAAACCTAAAATAGATACTCTTAAAAAAATACAATGTTTAATTTAAACATATAATCATGATTAGTGGATAATTAATTGGTATTTTTTTTTCTAATTAATTAATAAAAGTTAGATATGAGTCATATGATTAGCAGTATTATTGGATCTGATTCCTTCCTACCTAACTAGCATAATTTTATCAAATGAAACAGAGAAATTATTATTTATACAAAAGGAATATAATATATGAAATTGCCATGAATAATTTTCACCTTATTCTGGAATTTTTTCCAATATAGAATTATTATAATTTTTTAAAATTTGAAAAACTACAAAATACTTTTTTCACTAATTTTTATTTTAAATCACTAATAAAAATTCAAATTCACTTTAAATTTGTATTCATATAATTATGTTCAAATATAATTTTGATTCTTAAATATTATTTTCGACTTAATTTTTTTTTTTTTTTTTTTAAATTTCACAATTTTTATATCGAAACGTCCATTAAATATTTGAGAAATGCATGTGCTTTTAGGATCTTATATAATTAATATACATCAACTGGTGGTTCAATTAGAACAACTGTGCGCATGTGCATGTTTGATCGTCGTTTTATGACCATGTCAAATGTATTTTATATATAAATATTAGTAAATGATTAATAAAATTTAAATAATAAAAGGGGAAGAATCAATTAAATAAAGTAATAATAAAAGTTAAAAGACAAAAAAAATTGGTTAATTCTAGTGGTGTTCTCATTTAGAAAATTGTGCTATATTTATATGAGTTTAGGTTTTAAGTATTGATCGACGGTATAAAAAATAGAGTAAATTTTAGGTTTAGCAAACATAAAAAATTATATTAGTGCTCTATAGTTATAGTATTGCTATTTGCGTTCGATAGCAAACATATGTAATTTGCTATGGGGCATCTCATTGTATAAATTGCAGGTAGACAACTCATTTGTATAAAAAGCGCATCGATTGTATATGTATATCAGTTATATAATTGTATATATGTAACTATTATGTATATGAATCAATGATTGTGTTTGTATATCTGTATAAAATTTGAATTTGTATACAATTGAATCGAAGTAAAACATTTGTATATCAAATCTCTCTTTCTCTCGCTTTATACAACACAAATTATACATTGTATTTTATATAATTTGTGTTTGTATAAAGCGAGAAAGAGAGAAAGACAAGAGAGAACTGGACAGAGAAAGATTTGTATCGTATAATTATAAGTGTATAGGACGAAAGAGATATGTATTTGTATTTGTATATACAATTTTATCTCTCTTTATACAAACATAAACACAATTTATACATTTGAGTTTTTATAAAGTAAGGGAGGCGAGGGAGAGTAGCGAGCGAGATCACGGAGAGTGGCGAGCGAGATTTTTGGAGAGAGATGAATGACAAAGTGTTTGCTACGAATTAAAATTAAATGAAACTATGGTTATAACAATTATTTTGAATCAATAATTTGCTAGCTATTTTATACTCACAATTTTCCCTAAAAAGTATTTGCACATTAATCAAATTGTTTAAAAGTTCATTACATATAACTTAATTTGATGGTATTAGTTTATAACTTCTAAACGGTTAAATTACACTAATAATATATTAAAAAAATACTAATTCCTTTATCTTAAAATATTTGTCATATTTCGTTTGACTTTCAAATTAATCAAATTAGTTTTCGAGAAATGAAAAGTATCATATATTTAAGACGGGAAAATATATATTATCAGTGTATATAACTTAAATTGTGCGCTTAGCTTCTCCATACCCCCTCAACTATATATATATATTAGCTAGCTGCTGCCACTTAATTAATTAGTACTACACTCTAATCCTTTCTATATCATTAAATTAATTACTTTGAGAACTTGTTCATTATCAATAATAATGGCTGTTTATTATCCTCTTTCAACATTTTCCATTTTTTTTCTTCTTCTCATCTTCATAAGCTTGTGCTTCAATGAGAGTTTTGGTGATAATGGAGGCTGGCAAAGTGCTCATGCTACTCTTTATGGAGGGGGTGATGCATCTGGTACAATGGGTATGTCTTTTTTTCTTTTTTAGTTTTTTCACGCGATGTTCGGTATCTACATTGGAGTCTAACTATATATTTCAAATTTGCACCGTGTAAAGCTCCATTCGTGGGCAAACACTCTCTACCAAGAATTTTTACATATTCAGAGCTCGAACTTGAAACCTCTGATTAATGGAGGAGCAATTCCATCCACACCACAACCTTTGCTTTAAACATTAATTGTCTTATTTTATGATGGATTAAAATTTTTAGTCCTTCAACGAAATGCTGAGTTTCCCTAATTAATTACTACATCAACGAATTTTTTGTCTCAATTTATGCGATATTTTTTTTTTGTCAATTTCAACAAAAAAAATGACACAATTTTATGTTTAGTAATGCTGGATTATACATATTTTCATTCTTTCTTAAAGCTTTTGCTAAGTCAAATAACATCACATAAATTGAAACGGATGATGAAGTATTTATTATGCAACAAAGATTGTGAGTGGAGCGGTAAATACACCTCATGTTTGAATCCTTAAAATGGAATCACTTTTGATATGAAGTGGTATACCTCCAAAGTAGATCTATTTTTTTAAATCTCTCAACCAAACAATAAGTACTCCTAATTAGACGAGAGGGGTTGCTCGGATGATAAGCACCTCTCACTTCCAACCCGAAGGTTGCAAGTTCGAGTCACTAAGGGAGCAAAAGGGTGGGAGCTCCTAGGGAGGGTAAAAAAAAAAAAAAAGTACTCCTAATTACTAATTTGCAACAACATTATAGTAGAATGGTAAATACTTCTCCATTTCTAATTAAAGATATTGCATTCAAGTTTTAAAAATAGAGTCGTCTCTGATAAGAAGCAATCAGTCTCTCTACCCCTCAAAAAATAGAAATAACTTCTGCATACACTCCACCAGCCTCCTCCGATCCTACTTATGGAAACACTGAATATGTTATTGTTATGGTGTACAACTAGTGACTCAATACTCTATAAAGTCTTTGTAAATAGTACTAATGATTCAAAAAAAATATGCAGGGGGTGCTTGTGGTTATGGTAATTTAAACAGCCAAGGTTATGGTACAAACACTGCAGCATTAAGTACATCCTTATTCAATAATGGATTGACATGTGGTGCTTGCTACCAACTCAAATGCAACAATAATGATGCCAAATTGTGTCTTCCAGGAACAACAATTACTGTCACAGCAACAAATTTTTGTCCACCAAATCCATCATTACCTAACAACAATGGTGGTTGGTGCAATCCTCCTTTGCAACATTTTGATTTGGCACAACCTGCCTTCTTGAAAATTGCACAATATAAGGCTGGTATTGTCCCAATATCTTTCCAAAGGTAAACTTTGTTTTCCTTATTATGACATAGTTTGCATTTGACGGTATTTGACTGAGCACGATTTGGCTTGAATATATCGAAAGTAATATCAGTTATGTTATTAAACTTACGGAAAAATGTTTAAAATGTGTTTAAACTATGTGAAACTAAATAAAAATGTCCTTAGTTAGTAGTTTGGTCTAAGAATATCTAATATTATTACTTAATTGATGAAAATGTGCTTTTTTTCCTAATAAATATCTTATTTATTTTCTTTTTAAAACATATTTTATTCTGAATAATAATGTAAACTTTCATATCAAGGGAATTCCAACAAATCGTACGAGTAATGGTAAAATAAAATTAACAAGATTAAATAGTTATGGAATACAAAAATGTTATATTCTTGTTGAGATATAAACTATATATGATAGAGAAAATAACGCCATCCTATGGTGAAAATTGAAGTGATAACTATTTCTCCATTCTTATGTTTTGAATAAAAGTCCTAAGAATATCATTTTGGGTAGGAAATAGGAAATGCTCCTCTAATGCTCATTCTGGCACGACTTTGAATTAGTTGAATTTTCAAAAGGCATCAAACACCAAATGAGAAATCAAAAGAATATCGTATAGAATAAGAAACACTCCCTCAATGCTTAGCATTCTGAAGCGACTTTGAATTTATTAAATCTCAAGAGTATCAAACAGCAGATGAGAAACCAAAAAAATATCGCATATAGAATGGGAGAGAAGTAATACAAATGAAAGACACTTCTTGTTCAAGATAGTGCATATAAATATCACTAACTTGAACTTGATTGAATTCATATACTATACAAGATGTATATGTTATAAGTAATTTCTATTTATTGAGATGTGATTTTTTTTTTCATAGGGTACCTTGCATGAAGAAGGGAGGAATAAGATTTACAATAAATGGCCACTCTTATTATAACTTAGTTTTAGTGACTAATGTTGGTGGTGCTGGTGATGTTCATTCAGTTTCCATTAAAGGTTCTAAAAATGGATGGCAATTAATGTCAAGAAATTGGGGCCAAAATTGGCAAAGCAATGCATATCTCAATGGACAAAGTCTTTCATTTCAAGTGACAACAAGTGATGGAAGAACTATCACAAGCAACAATGCTGCCCCATCTAATTGGCAATTTGGACAAACTTTTGAAGGGGCTCAATTTTAGTTTTTCATCGTCGAAATAACGTCTACTGATCATTTTTCAGTCTCATGTAGTTTTAAATTTTACAGGTGAAACTTCATGATAATATTATAAATCTAGAGTTTTACCTGTAGAATTCAAAACTTACGTGATCATTGTTATTTTCATTATTAGAAAAAAGTGGTTATTTGTGAATTTTATCCTATTTCACCACTTAAAAAAAGGCCATGAGAAAAAGAGAAGGCATAAAGTATAATACATACTAATAGTGTACAAAATTGTATTGCTCCTGTTAGAAATAATAAATACCAATAGTGAGTGTGGTTTAGTAACCTAAAAAATAAGAGAAATAATCTATTGTACTTCTACTAGATTACAAGTTGCATTTATTATGTAAAAAAATGTTTTGTATCGACTCTCTATGTGATTTACAAATTGTATACGTAAATTATTAATTTCGTCTTTAAATTATTGACAGTCTTAAAAATATCTTTTATTTCACCAGTTAAATTTAGATATACCTCTGATCTGCCACATGACATAACAAGTGATCTCAATCTCTTGTAGAAACATGAAATTCTTAATAAAAAGTCGAGAGAAGTATTAAAATCTCCCTAAATTTGATGAAAGTTTAAAGGCATATTTCACTCATGTTGCAAGAACGGGAGTGTATTTAAGTTCAGTTAATCAAGTAAATAAATGTTTTAAGGCTGCTAATACTATGAAAATGAGATTAATAATTTGCGGCAAGTTCATTTTATGTAAAAGAAAAAGCTCAGAGCTTGTGTTAGAACTACGAATACAAATATATCATTACAATGCTTGTGATGAGATTGTTCAATTTCACATAGTTTAACGATATTTCGGATACATATTTTTCCTTCAAATATTTTCACACTATCGACTCCAAAGTCAAAAGTGACAATCGTAGACAAATGAGGCCTCCTTCTGCAACTTATCACAAACTCTGTTCAACGCTCTTACGATATCTTCCTTCCCTTAATACCCCTCGAAACTTCCAAAGCTCACACTTTCAGTCCTCCAGAAACTTCTACACACTGAACCCTACTACTGCCATTCACACTTTCATCAGGCCCATTTCCGTCATTTCTATTAGTCCTCCGCAGTTGATCGCCGTCGTACGGGGCAGAAGATCGAGTATCGTCGGCGTTTCAACCATGGCCAGCGGCGGAGAAAATTCAGTTACGTTTCAGTTAACTCCGTCGAGCTTGTTGAAGATTCAGAAAGGTGATATTACTCGCTGGTCCATAGATGGATCCTCTGACGCTATTGTAAGTATCATGTATCTATGCCTAATGTCTTCATATATGCGTTTGGATTTTAGCTGAATCATTTCTAGTTTGAATTTTTCAATGTGTATTACTATATGTTGCTGCACTTGTTTTGTATTTTGCTATTTTGCTGTCTTATTTTCTCACAATCCTGCTGCGGATACTGTTATGAACCCATGTGCACTGTCTGATTCAAAACTATATGAGTATCTTATTGATATTCAACCAAAGTGCAAACTGATGTGGCTTTTGTTTGATAAATTGGTGGATTTAGTTTTTCAGTTTTCAGAAAGTTTTGTTTGTTTGTAGAGTTTTTTAAAAAAAAGGAACTTCTTTGGTTTCAATTTGTGTGAAAGAAGTACTTTTGGAACTTGCGATCTTAAACATATCATTACATTTATGTGGTTATAGGACTTTTGAATCTTGTCGTCTTAAATATATCATAACCAGAGGCGGACCCAAGATTTTTAGTTTTTGGGTTCTGGAATACAATTCTTTTTGCTTATTGGGTTTTGAATTGATTATTTATTCATATTAAATGAAATTTTAATGCAAATGAAGGGTTTGAACCTAAGCTACTGGGTTCTTCAGAACCTGTAACCACAGTGCTGGCTCTGCCCTTGTTCATAACATTTGTGTAATTATAAAAGCTTGTCAGTGTATTTAATATGGGAATTAAACTATTGAAAGCTTGTTAGAGATGTATTCTTTCATACAGATAGGAAAACTCTCTAAGGAGTAACTTTTCAACAGTTCAAATAAAGTCTTGGTGGAAGTAGAGTCGCCCTGACTAAATTATAACCCTTGAGAACAATGGTGATCTCTAGCAAGGGTGTTGTTATAAGGCCAACAGTTTTGTTAGGTTATTTAGGTTGTTAGCTCATATCATTTGGGAGCAGTTACTACCACCTACCTAAGTTTTAGCTTGTAAATCTGTTTTGTCTAAATATATTCTATGTGCATTTTGTATGGCTGTGAAGAACTACAATGCTTTCTCTCTTTCTAATACAACAAAATATACCTAGTGTGTCTCCACAAAGTGGGGTCTAGAGAGGGTAGAGTATACGCAGGCCTTACCTCTACCTTAGAGGTGAGGTAGAGAGGTAGAGAGGTTGTTTCTGATAGACCCTCGGCTCTAGACAAAAACAGACTGGAATTAGACGTAATGGAAGTACAAGAGACAATAGGTAGTAACAAAACAACAGATAATAGCAGAACTAGCAGAACTAGCAGAACTGTACTATAACCAAATAATACGACAATCAAACTACACAAAACAACAGAAAGGCTTTCCCTCTTTCTACACTCTGTCTTTTTCTCATTTGACTTCAACTTCTCAAGCTCTGCTCCTGGGGTTCAGTTTTCCAAATTCTCGAGTACCTTCCAATATTCTTGATCTTGGTAACCTAGAGCAGAACAAAGACAGAGAATTCATATAGTCAATTCAACAAATTTGGGTTTGAGTGATTGATTAGACACTGGGCTGGCTCTATGTTGAAAAACGAAACTGAATATCTAACAGCCTGAATGATTTGGAGATCAGGAGAATAACAGAATTCTATAGCTCAGTAGCAAGATTCAACAATCTCACTGAAGAAGTGGACAGACTAGAATGGAACAGAAACAGTAAGGGAATTTTTTCTGTCAACTCTGCATACAGGGAGCTAAATGTAGGAGTGGTGAAGGAAAGAGATTGGCCTTGGAAGATGATATGGAAACCAAAAATTCCCTACAAAGTTAACTGTTTCATCTGGCTTTTGGCCAAAGAAGCAGTGTTAACTCATGATAATCTGAACAAAAGGGGTCACCAACTAACTGCTAGGTGTTTTTTATGTGGGGAACAAGCTGAGACAATCAACCATCTTTTTTTGCACTGCAAATGGACATACCAGCTTTGGAGGATGTTCATCAGTCTAAAAGGGATTAGTTGGGTGAAACCTGGAAGCATTGCAGACGTTCTAAGATGCTGGAATATGGATGGTAATGTGAGCAAGAAGGAAGAAAGATGGAATATCATCCCGACATGCATTTGGTGGTCAATTTGGATTGAGAGGAGCAAAAGGTGCTTTGAGGGGACTCGGAACAACATTCAGAATCTTAAAATGAATTGTTTAGGCCTTTTTTATTTTTGGTGTGAGCAAAAACTATTAGCTCAAACAGAAGATATTTGTGATGTTTTAAACTTTTTGCAAGGCACAGAATTGAATTACAAGTTGTAAGTTGTAATACTTTTGAAGGGGAACTACACTTTGGTTGTAGTATACCTGTGGATATATAGAAGTAAAGTTAACATTATAAAATAAATAAATATCTAACAGCTTTGAATCTTTTGTCGGATTGGTTTTATACATTAATGTCGAAGCTGGAATGGTCTAACTTGTTCTGGTACCAGCTGTTGTTTTAAGGCATCAAGAAGATGCTTAACAAAAAATTGTCATGAAAAAGGGGAGTGTCTGCTCATGTACAAAAGCTAGGCTACAACTAAGGAGCAGACACAATCCATAGGAGTTCACAGTAGATACAGGCCCCCAATTGAGCGGTACCACTTACCAGCAGTCAATGTATTTCTACGTGCCATGTGCTTGTGCCTGACTTTGAAATGAAATCAAATGCTGCTAAGTTTCCGAAGAGCCTTTGCTTTGAAGTGTATAATATGTTACAATGTTTAAGTCTTTGACTGTATTCTTATATGTTTTGTTTCTTAGAGAAATTTAATCATTCATTGAGGAAAAGTTGAAGATCAGATAATGAAACAAAGCCGGTTGGCGCTATATCAACAGCTTACCTAACTGAATAATAATAACTTTAACTTTGTACTCAGCTTGACTTCAGATTTACTTGTTTGTAAATTTCAGAAGTACTTTGGATTCATTTGTGAACTATAAACAACTTCAAGCATAATAAAAGAGGAATATAGAACCCCTATGTATTTTCAAGAAATAAAATGTCCAACATACCTTCTCTATTAATGCTGATGATAATTTCAGTTCTGCTTATGATCCTCCTTTGGGGCTTATGATATATTTGATTCTGTCTATCCTTCTCGATATTGTGGTGTTTGGTTATGGCCTTCATCTTTGCACCATTTTTATACAGGTCAATCCTGCGAATGAGAGAATGTTGGGTGGTGGTGGTGCTGATGGAGGTAATTCTCTAATTTACTGCTGAAGTGCTGCTTATTTTCCATGATCTATGTAGTCTAATTTCAATTTTTCCAATTTCTAGCCATACATCGGGCTGCTGGTCCAGAATTACGAGATGCATGCTATAAAGTACGAGAGGTACATCCTGGAGTTCGCTGCCCAACAGGAGAAGCAAGGATTACCCCGTATGTGCTCAGTCTTTGGCTTCATAATACATTAGAACGATAGGTTTTTGTAGTATGTTGTCAGTAAAATTACATTGTGGTGGGAAAATATTGCAGAGGTTTCAGATTGCCAGCTTCTCATGTAATCCACACTGTTGGACCAGTATATGATGCTAACCCAAATCCTAAAGCCTCTTTGACAAATGCATATAGGTTTGTGAATGATTGTTTAATATTACTCGTAAATTGGTTTTGCTGTCATACCTTATTTGATTCTCTTTTCCGTTAATTATACTGCAGAAATAGCCTGCGTGTGGCTAAAGAGAACAACATTCAGTATATTGCTTTTCCTGCCATATCATGTGGGGTCTTTGGGTGAGTTCACATGGATTAACCATGCATTTCAAGTTTATAGGATTAACAATGCATTTCATGTTTATAGGAACAACATTCAGTATATTGTTTCATTGTGTGTCATGCACTAAATTCTGCAC